GGTTCCGAGCGATCCCCGCTGCTCGAGAGAGAAAAGCCCTTTCCCCGGTGGCTCACACTCTCACTGGGTATGTTACGCGTAGTCGGCGGGAGAAGGGAAGTGTGCGCCCTATTGGCTCACCCAACCTTCAATCCGACGGAGTAGGCTCTCTTTATTGGGCCAGCCTGTCGCGCCTCCTGGGCCAAACCTTCAGTGCATTTCTGCTTTTCACCGACACCTCAGCACTCGTGATGTCCTCCTTGATGGCCCGTTCCTCCAAGAAAAAAGCCCGGAAGACCAGCCGCGCGCTCGGTCGTTACGCAGGCACTGGCCGCGTCCATGCCGCCTCCGTCGAGTGCTCCCCCGGCCCCGGCCAACAAGACACCGCCTCGTCGTGAAGTCGCTACGTGGACGTTCCAACAAGGCACAGAGGCCCGGTCGCCTTCGTGTCGACTCGTCGCTGGTCCAAGCAACGCATAGTCTGGGTGGGGTTAGACCCGAGTCCGTCCTGCGTCCTTTCTCTGGACGCACCCACTCGGACCTGCTCGACGCTTCCGGAGGTGCCTTGATGCCGCCTGTTCCTGAGGCCTCCTACTACGACGCTTGTGGTGTCCTGCTGGTGCACGAGGCTACCCACCTCCGTTCGCGGGTTCACCGAGCGAAGTCTGGCGGTGCCGCCTGGCCCGGGCCTTCAACCTGCCCTGTCGACCGACTCCATTCAGGCGGTCGTAGCGCCGCTCGTCACGGACTCTTCATTCAAGTCGGCCATCGCTGCAGCGGTGTCTACCGCCCTCCCGCGGCCCCAGGTTTCTGCTGAGACGCCGCCGAACGAAGACACCGGGGCCCCCGTCGATCTCTTGGACGGCACTGAGCTGGACCCCAGTTTTTTCGGTGTCGGTGGATGCTGTCATTACGGCGTCTTTAGGGCGGCCTTGGTCTTAGGAGAGGGGGATGTGGGAATAGAGAGCGCCCTCCTACCTGGCGCCTCGTTCCCCAGCTGCCGCGCGCGTGCCGACAGCGTAGCCCGGGCGCGCATAAGCACCGGCATCCGCCAAGATGGCTGCCAGGGTGCCTCATGGTCTGGGCGAGTCGACCGTCGGCTCCTTCCCGCGCTGGCATGTCTGGGCACGCTACGCTGGCGCGCTGCGCGGGCCTACGTCACAACGCAGCGCCATTTCTCTTTGAGCGCGCGCGCGTGACATCCTCCTTTCCTACGAGCTGTGTTGCGTCCGACGATTCGCTCGTCGCGGCAGATGCTCTCAGGCCTTCACGAGGGGTTGACGCGCTGCTAAGCAGGCGGCTTCTCGTTCGTGCATTCGACTTCGGCCCTTGTGCGGGAGTCGTCGCGCCCTAGGCAAGCGTACTTGCTCAGTCTTGCGGAGTTCCCTATACGGCCTGCAAGCCCGTGAGTGTCGCACTGTGCTGCAACTTGGGTTAATAAACCCGTTGTTGTTAGCCTGCATCGTGCGTGGTTTCTGCGCCGTGCCGGAGAAATCGACGAACCCGGCCGCAGCGTCTTCGCACGCAGCGGCAGTGGAGGACGTCGCATCCCTACACGGTTGCACTTAGGTTTGCACAAGCCACACCTGTCAGCGACTGGTCTACTGGGGACAGGGCGAATCTCTTCCTGCACATCCGAAAAAACTGGGTATCCTTAAGCTATACGTTGAACGCGATAGTGATATTCTGCCCCTAGTGCGTATTTCAACCACTTAGTGCATAATTTTTATTGTATGATGTTACTCGAGAAGTTTAGAATGAGGATTACTATACAGTCTAAGCGGTAAAGTTGAAAGTGGCTATAATGTCAGTGAAGCTCTCGCATATAACTGCATTCTGTGTAATGGGTGCATGCGAGTTCACAGATGCGGATACAGAAATAACAATACGAATCTGTGTGCCCATGGAATGACCACTAAATGCATGCTATTTGCACAGATTCAGGTGTTTAAATAAATTGGCAGAAGCGTAAGCAATGTTGGGAGCTTTACGCCTATGCGTGCTTCAGATTGTACGTCAAACTCACAATATTGTTGACCTTTCCAATGTCTTCTCCCCTGCTTTCCACGTGGATCGTCTCTCGATTGACATAGTAGCGCTGTGATCCACTGGTCCATTGCCTGACAAGTACACTTCACGGCTTCTCTTTATTCCGCATCGCTAGGCAGACTTTCGACAGCTGCCATTATAAAGAACATAAGTGCCAACGAAGCATACGTGTTAGCTGTAGGCGATAGCGCTAGCCTAGCTCAGTTTCGGCTGATTTGAGTACGTTGTAGCTACACTGTACTCTATCCTCCAAAACGCAACCACTGGGCTGTGCTTCTCTCGAACCTAGCGACGAAGATCTTCAAGGGGCCAGGGATACACTAGTATTAGCCTCTTTTTGTTTTGCTACAGTACACTCTAGCCCTGCTCACGCAACTTCTATGCTGCACTACTCTCGAACCAAGCCGCAGAACGGAAATATTTTAGGAGGGCTCGGTAGCGCTGTAAGTGGTAGCCTCGCTTTGCCTCGCTGGCGTACAAGCCCCGCTCACGTAAAGGTGCGTTTATATTGTGATGTTATCGGAGCATTGGCAAATGTCACATGCGTGATAGAGCATTGGCAGAGTCTGATTATACATTGGTTGTGGCAGTGCGTGGACTTATGATCTGTTTTCGCCGACATGACACAGTGTACGCGCGTTGACTCTACGCCAAATCATAATTGCACCTTACCAGGAGCTAAAAACATGAACAAAAAACAAAACTGCTAGCGTGCTATGCATGTGTTGTCGTTAATATGGCTACACCAAGTGATTCTTGTTTTCCTCTATATGAAGAGCCCATTTAAGCAAAACCTTTACTCAACAAATGCGAAAAGGCATATTTAGGCGCTGAAAAGCTGATATAGGCACGAACCTCAATATAGGCACTTATAGGCACAATAAATGTATGATGAGAATGTTTCCCATTCTTTAGTTCGTGCCTATATGTTAAATAGGCTCGAAACGTACTCCGGGAAACAATAGGCATTTTACCTAAAGTTCTGGTCTTTGTTATAAAGTTGTGTGTTGCAGGAGTAGTGAGATGAGCTCAATTTTTCATTTTGTTTTTGTTTACAAGGGTTGTGCGAATATTGAAATGTTTCAATTATTTGAATGAACATTGCAGTATCTGAGTTTGGTTCAATAACAAATTTAAATTATTGAAAATTTTGAACTATATGGAATCAATGAATTGGTACATATTAATCCGCATGTAACTTTTTGTAAAGGTGGTTTCACTGCAGCAAAGGTATGCTAGACCGTCAAAACACTTATCCAGGGGAAATCTACACTGCCGCGAAGCACCATTTTAAAGTTAAATGATTGATTGACTTTTATGTAACATTTTGAATAATGTTTATTCTTCTGAGACCAACAAAACAGAAAAATATGTAAATGTGTGGACAAGTAATTACAGAGGATCCAAATACTAGTGCACCAAAATAGGGGCTTTTGAATTTCTTTGCAGATAATCGCTGATATTAGGAGGCTAATGATAGGAGCGTCGCATGAACAGTCTCACTACTAGAGATATGAAAAAATTCTTAAACAGGGGTTTTCACCGGAGCCAGCATTTTGGCAAGTGGGCTTATCTGCTTCGAGTCTGCGATTGCCTGCCTGATTTAAAAGGATAAGAGATATCGTAGTAACTAAAAGATACGAGATATGAAGGCATTTTCTAGTGCACGCTGGTATGCACCGATGCTTAAGTCAGTGCTCAGCCAGGCTAGCTTTTATCTCCTGTTAGCGATGCAGTCTGGTATTAGTCTGTGCAGGGAGCCCTGCAGAACAGCACTAGGTGGATAGGCCAGGAGTAGAGCAGGTCAAGGTAGGAAGTAGTTCATTGCATCTTGGCCCCATAGCAAACAATAGGTGAACACAAAGTAATTATTTCGTGCAGCTATTGTCTGCATTGAAATGACAATATCGCTGTAGCAGGCATGCACGAGAGCTTGGAAACATGTTCAGATAGTAGCTTACTATGATTCAAAGGTTGTGGAAAAACTGAGGAGTAGCATTGTCGGCCTTATTTTGGTGTCATGCTTGCAGAGTAAAATGTGCTAATGTTTGTTGCACTGACATATTTTATTAAGCAAAACCTGCATTATCCAACAGTACCCAATGGTAGCTACCAGTACACCATGAGTAGGTTGTTGCGAATAAGGGAGGAAGAAGGGGGGCAGGCATGGGCAAGAGCCAGGGGCGCTGGCTCGCTCAGTTGTTTCTTTGACCTTGGACGTAGCCAGACGATCTGGTTCCCTTCTTCGTTTTTCACACTTCGTTCTGATCGCGTGGAAAGTGATGAGTTTTTCAGCGTGTACCCAAAACTCATTTAAGTTGTAGTTGGCGTTTAAGCCGTGACGCCCGTCGAAAGCGAAGTCACCGCCTGGGGCGACGAGGAGGCGAGACGAATCGTGAGGGTGGTCGACGGTGATGTCGCGGCTTGGCAAGCACGACTTCACACAGGCGAATAATTGGACTGACAAGAAGGCTGCATTTATTTTTTCTGGCTGCACTCACATCCGTTTAGTGCAGTGATCATGTGAACCAAGTTAGCCAATACATACTATCATAATACGTTCCCTTTGGTAGCAAAAATGGTGCCAACAGTCCTAATCTTTTTGATGCTAAAATAAAAAATGATTAGTAGAAACAAACATGGCAGTGAGCTGTGCCCAGTACAGTGGACTCTCGTTAAACAAAATCTCAAGGGACCTGGAGAATATGTTCCATTTAACAAGAGTTTCAGTTACTGTGAAATGGACAAGGGTGCAAAATACAAGTACGAAACTAATCTTGTCAGCTAGAAGCACTTGTACCATTAGAGCAGCAGTTCTGTTTAAGGGTTTTCCGTTTACTGAGAGCCTACTGTGCTCCTGTGTGTGGAAACATTTTCTCTTTGTAGGGTAAAGAGAGCTTGAACACTGAGAAAAACAGCACAAAAAGAAAAAGATACATGTAAAGGATGTCGTCCTTCGAACCGACGTGCAGGTATGTCGACCGCTTGGTGGAGACGCTGCAGCAGAAGCTGTACTTGGCCGACAAGAACTTGCAGTCTCGAGAAGCAGTGGCCACTCGACGCCAGGAGGCACTCGACGAGCAGCGGCAGCTGCAGCCAAAGCTGGAGCTCATCTTGGCCAAGATCAGGCAGCTACAAAAACAGGTCTGTGCACGTCACATTTCTCAAGTGGGGAGAGCAAACATTTCAAGAAAGACTGCAATTGGTGATACAGTGAAACTTCGTTAATACATACCTGTTGGGAGCGTGGCATAAATATGCACTAAGCATATTACTCGTTAACCACCAGCTACAAAAATGCATCTGTGTGGTTTTTATGTATCTCTGGACGTGTGCCAGCACCATCAAGAAAAGAATAAATTAAGTGTCGCAGCAAATATTGCTGAAAACACCCACCTTGAAGCCATTTATTTTCGCCAAAGCGCAGAAAGTATTCTGTCATTCTTGCACGGACATCTGATAGCACGTGGTGGCAATGCCAAAAGGCGTTTCAAAACAACTGTGGGGTCCGGGATACACAGTGTGGTATAGCGACCGAACGGACATAATCGCTGTCCACAATATGTGCTACCACGATCTGCTACTAAGCGAGAACTGGCTATTTCTTCGAAACGTGGTGGAGTCGCATGCAGGGAGCCGATCATGTACCAGCTAGTTGCGTGCAGCGCTAGGCTTACTCAGCACATGCCGTGACTTCTGATTCATTTGCTGTAGAATGCGTCCACTCCACTTCAGACCATGCACATATGCAGCGAGTAGCCTGTTAGGTCAACATGGCGATGAGCTTTCTGCAAGCAATGTGCACTCCGCAATCTTCTATAGCGGTCCTGGCAGTGGAGGCACATTTGGGTGGTTGCCTCATAACAGCATTACAGCAGTGCTGCGCTCACTGTATCATACTCATGCGCCTAGCGTGATGCAGCGAGGTTCCTTAGGGCCTGTGGCCCTCAATGCTCAACTTAGCAACATCGAGGCAATTTTTTTTCTACAGAGGAATGCTCGCTTGAACACATGCCCACACAACGAGGCTGCAGCGATCAATGGTCCAGTGCGTCCAGGTTGTCTCATATTAAAAGCGTGAAATATTGCTTAAAGTGACACTACGCTTCATCAGTGCTTAGGCAGATAGCTCGGGATACTTACCTTAATAAAGCTTTTCATCAGCGATAGGTTATACCTGTGTGTTCGTTTGTCAGTGGTCGCTGCCTAGTCTGTTTTTTTCCCTGTGAATACCTGCAAAGGCATCGCCACCATCGCGCAGAAGTCAGGGTAATCGATCAGCTGATCTTCTTTGCTGTACACGCGGACAAATTTTCTTGGCAATCGAGGGAAAGCTAGAGAGGCAGAGCTTCTGCACAAGTACTGCACTTATCAGGATGATGGAAAATCATTTGCAGCACAATGTGGCGTCTGCAAGTTCAGCAGTGCTGTAAACTTTTATGGCACGAAATGTTATTGCAGTATGCAGTTGGTATACACTAACCAGTAGGCATAAGACGAACCACTATGGCTTAAAGGGGCCCTGCAACAGTTTTTCAAGTAGCCATGGAATGGATTCAGTAAAAAAGTTGAATGCATCGTGAATTCACTGCCACAAAAATTTCAAAATCCGTCCATTACAAGTGGAGTTGCTAAGATTTGTCTCACGCTTCGATTGCATTCTCTTCTCTACAAAAGCTAAGTAGGGAGGGATGACACGAGGAAAGCAAATACGTCACGCATGCCTTGTGACCTTGATCACTTTTTCTCTTTTTTTCTTTCTTCGAATACGTGGCTTTTCAGTGCAATTGCGCCTGTACGCGTGGATAAGCCGCGGCCTCTTGTGGCAATCTCTGTAACAACCAAGCGCACCACGTTCAAATCGGCCAATGGCTGATACAAAAGCTACGACGAGTGATTTTTTATCTTCTTTCGTCATTTGTTGAAAGAGGAGAAAGTAATTTTTATCTGACTTCGAGAATTTATTCTGACTTGCGGGCCACGTGCTGCGCTACTATATTTGGCTCGTGTGTTCTTGGGAGCTACCAAATAGCAGCATTTTCTGACCTTGCTCAAAAAGTGTTTTAGGGCCACTTTAAGCAGTCTGCGAATTCTTTAGTCTCTATAAGACTCGGTCAGGTATTTGTTACAACTACGTTAAACCGTTGGTGTGCTTGAAGCGGGTACATATTAACGAGGTTTTACTGCAACAAATGTCTTTTATTTTGCCAACGTATTGCTAGAAACTCCACGCATCGCCATGTATATGTGGTAGCAACCTAATAATGAATTTATGATCTCATTTTCTGGAATTGGGGAACTTCAAAAGGTTTTTCGAAGTGTCATGGGACCCCTCTTTGCACAGGCGGGCTTTTAATATATAGAAAATAAAAAGAGGTGATGGCACTTATAGATCAACATAGCCGGAGCACTTACGTGTCACATTTGCCAGCTATCTCAAAGGTCATTGCCGTTGATATGAACTTGTGATAACACATACTGATGGACCAGCAACTTCTCCATCTCTCCCCATCTCTTTGCACACCACTCCACTGCACACTGTAAACAATGTCATTATGAAAACGAAGTGCTGGATGCACAGAAGCACGCTTTATTTCTTGGAAAAAAAAAAAAAAACCAAAAGCCATTTCATTCACTGTGGTAGGGCTATTGATAGGTCCATGGAAACTTTTACTTGTTGACATGCAGCTGATCTCCTGCCTTTGTCGCACTCGCAGTAACAGGCTTGCGCACACATAAGGGCGAGACAGAGGTATTTTCACCATGCGAAATTACTTTCTCATGACGTCAAAGTTCATATATAGCAACAGCTGGACATCACTAGTTTCACTTCACAAGCTTACAAGTTACAACGCGCAGTGCTCAGTCGCGCTTAAAGATATTCTACACAAACTTGTGGTCCATCACTATTATGTGATAGCAATGGCACTGTGTCTGACTCTTCTAACGCAAGGCTATCGGCAGGGCAGTTTCGGTTTCATTCTCATGTGCAGGCATTTTTTACACTCTGTTTATGTGAAGAAAGATGTGCGTTGGATTTGATTTTCGAATAAAGATTCGCTCGCACCTCTTCCAACTTAGTAATGCTATCATTAGCTGCCGCTGACAAGAATAATTTAGTCTACCTTCCTTGCAGAGACACACGGTCGTGTCGTGAGCTTATTCAGGCGGTGTGTACCCGTTTTTTTAGGCAATGTTGAGTGTCACTGCCTACAATCTTACTTTTTCGATTATACAACGTTTGGATTATTTGATGGTTTTGTGTGGTCCCTGAGAATCATATGATTGGTGTTTCACTGTATGCTGCAATTACTGAATTAAATACAAGCCAAGCTCAATGCTCGTGGTACTCTTGACGAAAAAGTAGACTGTATTCATGCATAGAAAGTCTCCTAAGCAGCTGGCGACTACAAGGTTACAAAATACCACTACATTATCAGCAGACTTTAAACAGCACTACTCACTATCTGTAAACTTTTGGTGCTCACATGTAATAGTTTCTGTGACAGCGTTTGCGCATGAATATTTTGAAAATAATGCTTGTCTCAGGAATTCAGCTAAGTGGTTATACCTTGAGCATTGATCAAATGGGCAAGTATTTATTAGTAGTACAAAAGACTTGATAGAATTTGATATGACTTCGGTTGATATGACTTTTGTTAATTTGATTTCTCTGTTAATTTTTGGTAAATGTCTACCAATGGACCCAGATATTACAAGGTAGATTTATAAGTGACTAAATTTTTGTTATTTTCATCTTGCAATTAGCCCGTGCTGGATAAAACATAACCGGTCATTTTACGTGTACACTAAACCAATTGGGCTTGCTGTAATAGTTTAATAACAACAAGGTCTGTCTTTGTCGTGAATGCATTAAAAATGAGTGATGCACCATCGAAATCACTCATATATTGAGCGTTTCATTAGAAGCTTTTAAACGTGAAGTTAACAGCCCACAGTGACCTGCCGTATTGGTCTATTGGTTATGGTGCTCGGCTGCTGGCCCGAAGATCGCGGGATTGTATCCCAGCATGGCGGCCACATTTTTGATAAAGGCACAAATGTTTGAAGCCCATGTACTGAGATTTAAGTGAGTGTTAAAGAATTCCAGGTGGTCGATATTTCAGGAGCCCTCCACTGCCGTGTCCCTTGTAACCATATTGCAGTTCTCGCATGTCAAAACAACACTAAAGCCAACTAATAAGTCGACGTTGATTGTTGGAATGGTAGTCCAGAAACTTCGTAGTGTTACTTTCATGCCAAGAAAGGGCCTATTTTAAAATAAAATCAGGTTTTAGTGCTCTGCATCGGCTTAACGCACTTCAAGTTAGCCGCCTCAAGAAGCGGATCAACCGGATTGACTCGCGTCACTGTTGCCGTGCACAACGATGCCCAACTTTACTGCGCTAGTAGCAGCAGACCGAAAGCAGTGGGAGTCACAGCAGCAACAATGGCCATTGATCAATTTCTAGCCATTGGCTTCGAGAATGCAGACGCTTTTGTTTCAACTGTGCCCCGGTAAATGGCACCATCTGTCCCGTGTAACCACGCAAAAATTGAATCTTGAACCACTCGTGCCATTCCCCATAGTAACATCCGGTGGTTATTTTTTCTATGAAAACAGAAATGAACAAGCAGCATTTTATTGCATCTCTTGATGCACAGAAGGTTTTTAATTTAGAGAAGTTAGATCAATTATTAGTGATTAAATGTACGCGGTCCGTCTGCTGTCATCGGGATCATTTTGAAAATGCCTACTGCGGCGCTTGTGTTCTTGTGCATTTACCTTAATTTCTTGGTAAGTAGGGCACTGTTGTTGATAATATTGTCATTTTAGATGTTGTCATATATTGAGCTTTTTCTCTAACATAAATTGTTATTTAACTTTAGTGTCCCTTTAAACCCTGACTATTATTAATATTAACTGCTTTTGGAGAATGAGTGTAGTCACCTCTAATTGGTGCTTTATTACTTTTATTTTAAAATAAATTTTGCCTAAGCACTTTTTTGATGTAGCACTCTTATATAGAACCAAATTTTTGTTGTATTTTCGCTAACATTTACACAGCTGGGTATGAAACCTTATAGTAATGCAACGGCACTTGCACTGCAGAAGCAGATGCACGCAAGCCTGTTCCAATGGC